GAGCCCCTGGAAGGACCCTCCTGATTCAGCCTCTGCTGATGGTGGGCTGGGGCCTGGACCAGGGCGGAGCCCCTGGAAGGACTCGGGCCTAGGTCTGCTGTTGCTGTGAACACGGTCACCTCTGCCCTAGACCACAGCTGCGCCTCTCCCAGCCTAGGAGAAGCTGGGCAGGACACCGGGCTCTGGGTGACCTCAGGGCTGCCTGACCTGGGGGCCCTCCTGGCGTCGCGGTGTGACCGACAGCCCAGGCCGGGTTCTGCTGTAATCGCTGTTTCTCCTTCACGCAGAACCTTTTCGGCAAGATGGCTGACATCCTGGAAAAGATCAAGAAGTAAGTCCCTCGCCCCCAACCCCGGCCCAGCAGCGCCCACCCGGCCTGAGCCTCCCGTCTCCTTCTAGCTTGTTCATGTGGGTCCAGCCGGAGATCACCCAGAAGCTGTATGTGGCGCTCTGGGCCGCCTTCCTGGCCTCCTGCTTCTTCCCCTACCGCCTGGTGGGACTCGCCGTGGGTAAGGAGATGTGCCCGCAGCCTGTAGCATCAGGAGCGGGTACACAGTGTCTGCATGCCACCAGTGTCTGCTAGGTGTCTACAAGAGCGCTTCCTCTGGTTTTTGTCAAAACATTTCAGCTTGGGGAAGCGAAGCCCGGGACTGGTGATAGTTTCTTAAATCAAGCTTGCCCTCCGCTTCCAAGGCCCGAGAGTCTCCTCTGCCAAGTGGGAGGAGCTGGAGGACCCAAGACTCGGGCTAGCAGGCCCTGGGGATGTCAGGGAGTTGCCCTGGGCAAGACACGCCTCTGGGGGCGTCTGTGGGCTCAGGGGTGACAGTTTCGGGGAGCCTGAATGCCTAGTTTGAGGTACGGGGCGGTTGGTTGTAACTGATGAATTTGGTGACATCGTGTGAAGCCAAGGGTCACATCCACTAAATCACTCATCTGCAGAGCTGGAGGTGGGTGGGGTGTGGCGGCCCCTTCTCACCCCAGGAGGTGCTCATCCAGTCCTGCCCCTCGGGCTCTCTGCCCTTCCTTTCCCTCTTCCCTCCTTTCTCTTTTTCTTTTCTTTCTTCTCTTCTTTCTTTCTTTTTTCCTCAATAACAACGATCCAGTGTCTGACGTGGACCACACATTGGCATGTGGGAGCAAGGCCGCCAGGGTCCTGTCCTCGAGGGGCAGGTGGGGCTTGCCTGAGGCCACGCAGGACAGCGCATGTGGTTGTCAGAGCCGCAGAGCCAGGGGTGGGGAGAGCTCTGTGCTGGAGTCGGGAGGTCAGACCCGGCCCCTCAGCAGTCTGGGGTTGGCATGCCACTTAGAGGAGCACTGTGGGGCTGTGCCTCCGTGGAAGAGCAGATGCCCCTGCCACTTTTCCTGAATGCCTTTGTTCTAATACAGCCTGACCCTAGCCCCAAGCCAGCATAACTGCTAGTGGGAGGACGGGCTTCTCGGGACTCAGCGGGGCTGGGCGCTCCAACAGAGCTCACTGTGGCCGTCAGTTGCCATCACCAGGAGGGGGCAGAGCCAGATTTGATCAGACCCTTACCCCAAAAATGCACCGGAGGCCCTCCAGCTAGCACCCAAGACTCTAGGCACTTGAGTGGGTAGGTAACCCCATGACCTCCCGCTGGACCCCTGGGCCTGGGTCGGGGGACTGAGGTTCTGGAGCTGCAGTGCACTTGGGTCCCTGGGCAGCTCCGGGGCAGGCCGCCCTCCACGGGGAGCCTGAGGGTGTGCACCTGGGTCTTGGTGTCCTGGATCTGTCTTGCCCTTCTTTTCTTCCCCTCGCCCCCAAGAAAGAAGTCTCACTCTGTCATCCAGACTGGAGTGCAGTGGATGACAGATCTGAGCTCACTGTAACCTCTGCCCCCAGGTTTAAGCAATTCTCCGGCCTCAGCCTCTGCAGTAGCTGGGATTACAGACATGTGCCACCATGCCCGGCTAATTTTTGTATTTTTAGTAGAGACGGGGTTTCACCATGTTGGTCAGGCTGGTCTCAATCTCCTGACCTTGTGATCTGCCTGCCTTGGCCTCCCAAAGTGCTGGGGTTACAGGTGTGAGCCACTGTGCCCGGCCCCCGCATCCTTTTTTGTGACAACCGGGGTGGCTTGGGTTCTTGTGACCACACTGACATTCCACCGCCCCTGGGCAGCGCTGACCCTGCCAGGTGTGGGCCAAGTGGCATTCCTGGCTCATCAGTACCCATGTGTCTTTTTGCAGTGCTAATGAGAAACCTGAGCTTAGAGGGGCAGAGGCTGCCTGCCCCAAGCAAGGATGGCCCATCTGGGACTTGTGCCCTCTTGAGCTGAGCTGTCTCATGGGTCGGGGCACCACATAGAGGGAGGCCTGGAGTTCAGTACAAGCGAGTGGTCCTGGCCGGGCCCCACCCCACACCTAGCATCTTTCAAGAATCAACAAGTTGGCCAGGCATGGTGGCTCACGCCTGTGATCCCAGCACTTTGGGAGGCCAAGGCGGGTGGATCACTTGAGATCAGGAGGCGTTCAAGACCAGCCTGGCCAACATGGTGAAACCTGTCTCTACCAAAAACACGAAAATTAGCCAGACGTGGTTGTAGGCGCCCAGCTACTCGAGAGGCTGAGGCAGGAGAATCGCTTGAACTCTGGAGGCGGAGGTTGCAGTGAGCTGAGATTGAGCCACTGCACTCCAGCCTGGGCGACAGAGCAGGACTCCGTCTCAAAAGAAAACTAATCAACACGTTGAGACTTGGGGTAAAAAAGTCTGACTTGATTGATGAGTTTATGTGAAAATGTCCTACCAAAACACAAAATGAAACAAAGGCATGGCCTTATCAATCCCCTTACAGCACAGATAGTACATGGAGCTCTGACCCCGGGGCCCCTGCAGGGAGGGCCTGCCACGGCTGGTCTGGTCTGGCAGGCTGGCACTGCGGGCAGTGAGACAGCCGCCAGCACTGGGAGGGGCGCCCGGAGAGACCAGATCCACTGACAGCTTTCGCTGCCCAGGGGGGTGCATTAGGAGGTGTGTGTGGACCGGCCCCGCCTCCCATACCTGCGTCTGTTGCCAGGTGGGGTCCTAGGGTGCAGCCAGGCCCTGCTTCTCTGAGATTGTGCTTAGTAGGGTGACTGACCATGATTGTGTCAGGTGACAGCATGAGAGAGAAAATGGAGCTGGCGCAGGGGAGCCTGTGAGGAGTGTCTGGGAGCTGTCTAGGCAGGTGGTCATGGGAGGCCTCTCAGCAGGGCTGGGCCAGGTGTGGGGGCACCCAGGTGAAGGAGGTCAGGTGGGAGAGGGGGTTGGGAAGGGACTGCCATGGAGGGGCCTCAGATTCAGTGCCAGGTTTGGGGAGTTGGGGGAGAGGTGGCATAGTCCTGAGTGTTTTAGGCGGGTGGAGAACAGCCCTGAGTTGGGCAAAGCTGGAGAGAGAAGTGAGGGGCATCAGATGGTGGTGGGGGTCCTAGCAGAGCTGAGGGGCTGCCCCCTCCCCCTGGTGGGAGTGGGTGTGGTCTGGCCCAGAGGGTGTGGCCTCAGTGGTGTGGGTGTGGCCTCAGTGGGCGGGGTCTGTGGTGAGAGTCTTGGGGTCTGTTGGGTGTGATGGGGCACTGGCAGTGGGGCCGTGGCTCTTAGTAGATCCGGGCTGTTTGGAGGACAGAGCCACTAGTTTGTAGGTGGGCAGGTGGGGTCAGGGAGGGCCTTGAGGAGATGCTCAGGGCGTTCCCTGAACTGTTGGGCAGGTGATGGTGCCCTTCAGTGCCAAGCGGAAGGTGGGGAGGAGCCTGCTGGAGAGGGGCATAGTTGCTGTGTGATTCTGTGGGGGAAGGTGTGTGGAGTGAGGGGCGAGGCCGGCCATAGGCGTCAGTGTACAGGGCTTGGCCGTCCGGAGGGGACTGTGCAGCTGGATGCGGCCCTAGGGGAGCGAGGCCGAGGGGAGGGGCCAGGCTGAGGACTAAGCGGGCAGCTGCACTCACAGCCAAGCTCAGACCGGGAGGTGGGAGGGGCCGGAACCGTCACCCTGAGTGGACGGGCGCAGCCGCGGGGCTCCAGGTGGAACGGGTCGTGTCCCCTGCTCTCAGGGCTCTACGCTGGCATCAAGTTCTTCCTCATCGATTTCATCTTTAAACGCTGCCCGAGGCTGCGCGCCAAGTACGACACGCCCTACATCATCTGGAGGAGCCTCCCCACTGACCCCCAGCTCAAGGAGCGCTCCAGTGCCGCCGTCTCACGCAGAGTGAGCTCGGACCCCAGGCCCATAGTTCTCTGTTCACCTCTGGCTTATTTAGGGCTATTTCTTCCATTTTATGGGGTCCTTAAATGTGAGGGTTTTCTTTCCCCTCTTAGCAGGCACTGCTGTTTCTGCCCACCCAGTCCCTCCCAAGCCGAGGGCAACACTGGGGACTGATCATTACTCCTGAGAGCCAGTGGGGCTAGGAGTGACCCCTCCATGGGGGTGCCTGATCCCTGCCGTCCCTGACGGTGAGGCTCTGGCACTAGACCAGGCAACTGGAGAAGGGCCTCCCTTGGACCCACAGGACCTCCAGGGGTCCAGCACAGTGTCCCGCCAGGGCCCTGGGGAATAAGCATCTAGGTGCTCGCCTCGGGGCCACTCAGATGAGTAGGGAGGATTGCTGGGCTCTCCCCACTGAGGTGAGATGGGGACCTGGGGCACGTCTTCCAGAATTCAGATCCTAGCTTTCGGGAGTGGGGGTGCTGTGGGCGTGGGCGGCGGGCCCAACGTCAACGCTATGTGCCATTGGCAGCTGCAGACGACCTCGTCACGGAGCTACGTGCCCAGCGTACCGGCCGGCCTGGGTAAAGAGGAGGACGCCGGCCGCTTCCACAGCACCAAGAAGGGGAATTTCCACGAAATCTTCAATCTGACGGAAAACGAGCGTCCGCTGGCGGGTATGTGGGCTGTGAATCTCAGACTGAAGGCCGGTGGGGGGACACTGTGGGTCGCCCTGTGACAGGCCAGAGGAGCCCTCCGGAGCGCGTTCACATCCCGCTGCCCAGGGTCCCAGCAGGCAGCGCAGCAGGCGGGGTTCATGAGGACTCCATGGGCTACAGGGGATGAGGGCATACCTGTGGGAGAGCCAGCTCACCCTGCGGCACACCCCTGACCGCAGGCAGCCCGCTGGGGACAGAGTCCAGGGTGAGGCATCAGGGCCTGCAGGGCACTGGCAGGGGGCTGCCCTGGTTCCATCGTGTCTGGGGACAGGTGACTCAGGAGCCCGGGGACATGTCACCCTTCCTCGGGACGGGTCAGCCTTCCGGAAGGGACCTCCTGTTAACCTAAACAACGCACCCCGGGGTGTGTGATGAGCAGCAGAGGCAGCTGTGGAGAACTGAGCCTCATCCTCTGTTGAGCCGTGGCCCTGCCGGTCCTTGTGGAGGTGGCATCCCGGGGAGCTGCTGGCTGCGCAGAGACTTCTGCTGCTCTCTGCTCGGCCTGCGCGCCTTCACTTCGCCGGTGCCTGGTGAAGAGGAAACATCTGTTTTCCACCCTCCGGGGCCACCTCACTCTCACCGGCGCGCCTTCCTCTCGCTGTGGGCGTTACATGAACGCAGTGGGCGGATGTCAGTCTCTGAGAGTCGGGGCTCCCGGGTCCCCGCGTTGGGCTGGAGGCTGGGTATTTCCAGTGGAAAGCGTGACGGGCGGGCCTTTTCCCGTTAGTGTGTGAGAACGGCTGGCGCTGCTGCCTGATCAACAGGGACCGGAAGATGCCCACGGACTACATCAGGAACGGGGTGCTCTACGTCACGGAGAAGTGAGTGCGGCTGCGGGGCCCTGCATGGCTGCAGGGGAGGGGGCGCAGGAGGCTGCTTGGGCCCTGAGAGGGCGCGGCTGGCCCTGTGCAGGTTTTCCTGAGTGGTGCCCCCGCCCCCCCAGCCCCACTCCACTCTTGCTGGCTGTCTGGGCTCCCAAGAGAAAGGTGTTGCCTCCAAGCCACACGTGGCCTGGGCCGGCACTGCCGTCATCCTTCAGGGGATGCTGTCTCATCTGGGGCCCAAAGAGTTCATGGAGGCGAGGGGCGGCCTCCCAAGGAGAGGACTGTGTGGGGACCTGCTAGAGCTGAGGCCTGGGTCCTTGCTGTCTGAGACGCAGCAGGCAGCAGAGGGCTTTGACTCTTCTCTGCTAGAACAAGACTTACCCTTGCTACCCGAACCCCGATGTGGCAGTGGGAGAGCTAGCCCAGGGATGGGGTCTTTTCTTGGCCTTGCCTGGCCCTCGGCCACCCTGTCCCCCACACTTGCAGCAATGGCCAAGGCCCTACCTTGCCTCTGCTTCTTGCAGAGAAGGTAGGACACTCCCAGCCAGGGCTCCAGGATGCCTGTGTCTCTCGCTGGGAATCCCAGGGGCCCGGTGTCGTGGGAATGGCAGTGTCAGGTTTCACACAGAGCAGTGGCCTGGAGTGTTTCACAGGTGCTGTGTCTGGTGGGAAGGGAGCGTTGCTGTCCGTCCCACGGGGGGCTGAGGGGCAGCATCCTGGACTCCCCCACCTGGTGGGAGCACGCTCTGGTTCAAGAGCCAGGCGGTGCCTCTGTCCGTTCCCCTTCCAGTTACTTATGCTTCGAAAGCTCCAAATCTGGGTCCTCAAAGAGGAACAAGGTCATCAAGCTGGTGGACATCACGGACATCCAGAAGGTTGGTGCCCCCTGTGTTTCCTTCATCACCTTTTGGTTTTAGGGACAAAAAAGCCTCAGTCCATGAGGCTGGTGGGTTTTACTGGTTGCACTTGCAGCATGGGGGGATGGTGCCATGGGGGGGCAGTTCCATCTGGGGGATGGTGCCACCTGGGGGGGGC